TCATACATGGGACACTTATTAGGGCTCCTAATGAAAAAGGTTCCCATTTAACACACTGACATGTTATAGCAGCCTGTGATGACTACATCAGGAGTTTGTCTGCTGGGCTCACAAAGCAAATTAGATGGCTGTTTTCTCCTCATGTGGCCAGTCTCCAGTGTGACCTTGCATTAGTGCATATGCTCACAGCAGGGTCACTGGTTTAGGGCATGATCTGTCAGCCTTTGTTTATGAAACGCAGACAGCACAAGCCTGTAAGATAACATAGTTCATGCAATTAGTGGTCTGCTGTACAGCATTTCTCTACAGAGTATCAGTAAACAACATATATTATGGCACTTATATTCTATATACATGTTTACATGGAGCAAAATGATTATGTTGTCTTTTTTAATTAACTGCAGAATTAACGTACAAAATGAAAAAAATCTAGTTTATTTTGATGATATGTTGCTTAATTTGCATTTTGACAGAGAAAGATTAGCAAATTCTACAATTTGAGAAACTGGAAACTGCAAATGTTCAATTGTTCAACTGTGGATAAATTCCTGTTGGATGAAAACGGTTTAAATGCAGGAAGAATAAATGTTGCCTGCGAACGCTTCTGATAAAGATGTGTTCAGGTTAGATCAGCTTGGTGTTCGCATGATTGAGATGGCTTCGATATGATAGAGATAGGTTGACAGAGTCTGTCAGTGCAGAGTTGGCAGCAGCTCTGACAACAGGCGCCCTCTGACAGTCGCTCTATAAGGCTTGGTAACCAGCCTTTTTCCTGGGAGGTGTTCACTGTCACTGTGCATTGTGGGTGCCTGGCAGCAGTATTTCTCGAGGCTGTCAATCTCCACAGACACTAACCTGCCATGTTAGATTTGACCTCCACTGGGGAGATTACTGTCTCCAAGCTTTAGAGGCATCCTTCATTTTTCTCTGCTCTGTAGGGATACCTGGGAGAGATGAGACGGGAATGCACGCAAGATTTGTAATGCTTAAATGTGACAAGAATATTCTCATTGCTAAAACCATTACAGCTACTTTTTTTTTTACAGTCAACATTTTAACTACTGCCCTTTCTGTATTTTAGAAAATGTATCTGGGAATTGATTTCTGTGATATGCAGCATTACAGGAATGTTAAGTTGCGTAGTAGCACTGCATATCCGTGTTTTTGTGGAGTAGAAATGAGTTTTGGATAAGGACACTGGCTGTGACTTTGATGCGATATGTGTGTGGGAGGCCTCAGAAATGCCTGCTAATTAATGGCGTTACATTATTATTCTCAGCACAACTAGTACAGCAACTAGACAGAATAAGCTATCACTAGGTATATTTTGGGATGTGATAAGTTTTGTTCAATATTCTGCCGTGAAAGAAACAAAATACTTTACTGTTGACTCATTTGACTCACGATGAATAGATTAATGCTAATGCTCCACTCCTTGAAGTTGATTATACTAATCTGAAGCTATTAATCAGACAAACTTTTGTCATAGTCTCTTAAAAATGTTATATATCCACTACAGCAGCTTTGAGTGATACAACAATTTTCTGCCTTTTTAGGAAATAAGAAACTGAAACGTGGTCCTTAGACTCTATATCAAAGATGGAAGCAGCCACCATGTAATGAACGAATGAGGAATTTAACATAACTACCTCAAGTTATAAATTTTGGTTGTCGCATCTTAATCTTTTGAAACTAGGTGTGACCATATTTAAAGGGTTGGTCTGCTAATTCTAGAGGTAGCTATCTTGGTTATCAAGGTTCATACGTTCTTCATTGTGTTGCTAAGTGGAATGCTTTTGGCTAATGAGGCTTAAAACAAAACATTTCTTCATGTTTCAGACCTGAAGCTGTCCATTTTTTATGTACAGTCTGTTGGTGCCCTACAATGTCGAGAACAAACCTGAGTCCTTCCTTAGTTACGCTGAATAGTTTTGGACTTCTGGGGGCTTCCCATGATGCACTGGGAAGTGTTTCTTCCTTCACACACATCTTTTGACTCTATCTGTTTATGCACCACTGTGCACTAAGTCATTCATAATTATGAATTTCTGACTGTGTTCCGCAGCGTAGCTTTTGTCCTCTCTCCCTTCCCTCAACTCTAACTGGTCACGGCAGATGGCTGCTCCTTCGTGAGCCTGATTCTGTTGGAGATTTCTTCCTGTTAAAAGAGAGTTTTTCCCTCCCGCTTTTGCCAGATTTTTGATAACAGTGGATAGTCTGATTGTTGATGTTTTCTCTGTATTTTTGTAGAGTCTTTATCTTAAATAATAATATAATAACATAAAGTGCTTTGAGGCGCCTGTTGTTGTGATTTGGCACTATGCAGTATAAATACTCAAGCTTTATTGTCATAAAGCTTGAGTACCACAGGTGTTGTTGAACTGATCGTCTGGCTCCCTGCTGGCTTGTAGCACATAACTGGCATAAAATAATTCAAGAAATCTTCTCTCAAATACATTTTAGATTAAAAGGATCAGATGCATCTAATTCTGAGTGCTAACTAAGATTGCCAGGAGTTGCTTCTGACTGTTTGCGATAGTAACTTTATTTTATATGTAAAAAAAAAAAGTCTTTCTGGGATAGTAAGCATGAGATGATCCAACAATGTCAAGAATGATGTGTATCAAAATCATCAAAATTTCACAACGCAGTGGATTTTTTAAGCTAGTTTAAGCTAACTGGCTGTAGTCTTATATTCACTTTTCCCTGCAGGCTAAGAAATCACTCATTGTTTTGTTTTTTGTTTTTTACATTCAGTCTAACTTTTCAGCTCCTATCTGTCTGCTGAAGATGTGTAATGTTTGATACTGTGCACGTTAGTCTGCAGTAAATGCAGACTTGCATAATCAGCTGAGAAGGAAGTGACTCTGTTCTGTCCAGTGGTGACTCTGTCAGCAGTGTACCTCCTCACGCTGGTGTCTGTCTATAATTACATTTGAGTATGATGAGCTGTATGTACTACAGGATGTTGATGGAGTTTCTGTGTTCAGTAATGGCCTTTAACTTGAATTATTTGTATTAGGTTGAAGCTTTTACATAACCGCCAGGTGTTTTGTTTTTTTCCCCCCAAACTTATTTTAACTTTGTAGTAAAATTTGATAATGTACCTTAATGTTGGAAATATTGGAATTTCCAATAACCTTTTTTAAGAAGGTTCAGCTATGCTATCGGAAGCTAGTTCAGCACATAACGATGTTGTTTGAGATGGGCCATCACACATAAATTTACTGCTTTCTCCATTCTTATCGTAAATTGACTGGTGCACTGAGAACGAGTGGTTATACAGTCACATAAAACCCCCAGTTATGACCTGTGTTCTGTTTAGCCCTTGATAGAAACGTGCTGTTGCTTCCTGGTGTATTTCTGACCATGAAAATTATAATATGGAACAAAGATTAGAATAAAATTATCGTGGCCGGAAGGCATTTAACCGCCTTGTTGAGGCACGCTGTTCGGGGTTAGAGGAGGGGGGAAAAAACCCTGGTCCCCAAGAATAATGATAATACATTAGGCTGTGAGCGTGCTGGTATTATTGCTGTACATTATGTATGTTCCATTTATACTACCTCACACAGCCCAACCACTGCTGACGGATAGGTCATTACTTCCCGCACCGGTGAACACTTATCAGGCCCCACTGCTGTTTATGGCCAGAATGAAGAGCACTTGTCAGTCAAGGTCACTGCTTTGTGTGTCCTCTTTAATAGTTCCTTCTTCACAGTTGTTGAACTTTGTATTCTAGCTCAGGCCCCCCCTCTAAGTGGTGAGGGAGATGGGGCAGCTTTATATTCAGGTAGATTCAAGCTTTTATGTTGTGTAGAGGAGCAGCCCTGCTGGAGATGCTTTAGCGGTCTGAGCAGGATTAAATGTTTCTAAAAATGTTAGATCAGCTTGGTGAAGACAACAGGAAGCTCAAAGAGATCTGTGTCCAGTAAAAGCAAGCTAGCAAGCTGCTCTTCCATGTTTGTTTTTTGCGTCTGCCGTGTGTGCATGAAAAACAAGAGTGTATGATAAGTTCGGGTGACAGGATCCTAAGAGCCCGCTCTAACTGGAGGGCCAATGCTAATGCATGGCTGGTTGCGTTACACCAGCTAGTGCAGAAATCAGAAGTGGCCCACAGTGCAGTGCAGGCTTTGGCCCTGGGACAAAACCAGATTTTGGTTGCCTTGGTTTTCTTTTAGCCTCAAGTCTCAATATTTGTCATCTCCGCACAAGTTGTATCTCTGTATCTTGTAGCACTGTAGGCCTATAGAGGCAAAGACACTCACTTGTTTATTCAGCTTTCTTAGGTAAAAAGGCTTGCCCCATGGTAATTGTCAATGTTATTTTGTGTTTAGCTCTGATCTCTTTTTTTTTTGTCTGCACTTGTTTTCTGCTCCACAAAAACGGCCCCTTCAAATAAAACAATGAAAAAATCTGTTGTAAATTGTAATCCACACTTTCATATTTGAGTCAGATTGATATTTTTACCAGTATTGGCTACATCCCAAAAAAAAGAAAAGGGAAAAAAAACGCAACTGATGAAACAGAATTTCCTGAAAAGATCTAAGACGAAATCACAGGTGTTACCACAGTGTTGCACCATGCAGGCAGCACTGTCACCAGCAGACTTGCAGTGTCAGATGAAGTCCACACGGATGCAGCTTTTCAACATAAAGAAACTCGATCTGTGGAAACCGACTTTTTTTGTCTCCCTTCACCCTGTGTCAGGACCTCATTTTCACTCCGCTGTCATACTTCCAAACAAGGGGATTTTTGACAAGGTGCTTTTCATTGTCATCGTTTTCCCTGTAAGTCACCCAGCATAATTTACGGTACTCACCTTCCCAGCCTGTTTCCCCCCCTACAAGAAAGCCCCTCCACAGTCCCACTCCGAGCTGTAAAAATGAACAGTTCCTGTTTCTCTGCTTTGATGCAATGCTGACAGGAGTCACTTTGATATACTTGGGAGTATGAAATTTAGATCTGTCCTGTTTTTTTGTTTTTTTTTCCTTCCCGAGGCTTCATCTTTGCAGACATTGGGAGCTGTCATTTTGCAACACCCTGTGATGTGGGTGACACTCAGCTGCTTTGACAGGTGCTGGACAGCAGACACACTCGTAGACGAGCTGGCAATATTTCTTCAGGTAAAGTGCTGAAATGTGTAAACGAATTATTGATAAATTTATCTCTGCACATTTTTTTTTTTAATAAAGTCACCCTTCTGTTCAGTAAAAAAGTCAGCATTTCATTAAATATCACTAGTTTAGACTGGTTTATTCATATTTAACAACTAAAAATTCAAGACAATTTAATAACCAGCTTTACTCATTTTACAAATCCACGAAGCATCTTTAAAATGCTTCTTTGGACATTCATGAAGATATCAAAATTTTCCAACAGTCTTAATCTAATGCATGCAAAGAAATAAGCGTTGTGTCCAAGATCTTAAAACTGCCTAGCTATATTACACTTTAAATGTAATCCTTATTTGCACCTAATTTAATATTCATCCCTCAATAAATGAGTCATTGAGCTGATCTGTATAAGAATACAAACTGAGTAATCTTATCTTAGCATATTTTTTATGTGTCAAAAAAATGGAAGACTTTTCTAACTTTACATTAGACACACTAGGTGAGACGGATGGTTTCGTTGCAGTGCTATGGTTGGATCTCGGCTGCATGGTGCACTGTGGGAGCCCACAGGGTGTGTGTTCACAGCGTTTCCTGGATTAGACACCTTGGTATGGCCTGTGGAGAGATGTTCATAGTCTGCTGTTCACACAGTCTGCCTGCTACAGCTGAGCTGCCCTTTGCCAACAGGCCTGGAGACAGGACGAACACATTTAGATTCGCATGTCGCAGTTCTCTGTTGTCATTATTTTTCACTCTTTGCTGTTGTAGGTGAGGGTAATTCGAGGCTGAACGATGTAGACCAATAAAAAAGTGTTTCAAAAGTTTTGTTTGTGTGTCCCCTCAGGTGCACCTCTATTCACTTGGTAACATTTTACAGACTTACATGCAGATTTAAAATATCTGATTAGAGCGCTGGTAGACTGCCTACTGGATAGCTTGGCAGTTTTGTGCCTGATAGCACAGTTCACAGCTTACCAGGCCTATTGTTTCACCACACACACGCACGCACACACAAACATGTTGACATGCTCATCTGTCACTAGGAAAACCGCCACAGGCTGTGGCCTTGGCACAAAGACATTCTCCGAGCTGAGTGAAGATGCTCAGAGCCAAGATGCACCCAGTCAAAATGTTAAGAATTTCACATGCCAGAATCGACAAGCACAAGCGTTGATTTGAGGAGAAATGATGTTGAAGCAGCACTGTTGATACACATGACAAAGATGCTTTACGGGTTTTTGACAGCTTTAAAAACTCCCTGCTTGGTTGTGTTGTTAGTGCTTTGAAAATCTAAAGAAATAAACAAATTACTAAAAATTATTTAGCATATATATATATATATGGTCGGCAGCCTTATGAAATTTCCCCTTGTGGGACTAATAAAGGTATATCAAATCAAATATATATATATGTATACATATATATATGTGTGTGTGTATACATATATATGTATACATATATATGTATACATATATATGTATACATATATATGTATACACACACACATATATATATGTATACATATATATATATTTGATTTGATATACCTTTATTAGTCCCACAAGGGGAAATTTCATAAGGCTGCCGACCATATATATATATATATGCTAAATAATTTTTAGTAATTTGTTTATTTCTTTAGATTTTCAAAGCACTAACAACACAACCAAGCAGGGAGTTTTTAAAGCTGTCAAAAACCCGTAAAGCATCTTTGTCATGTGTATCAACAGTGCTGCTTCAACATCATTTCTCCTCAAATCAACGCTTGTGCTTGTCGATTCTGGCATGTGAAATTCTTAACATTTTGACTGGGTGCATCTTGGCTCTGAGCATCTTCACTCAGCTCGGAGAATGTCTTTGTGCCAAGGCCACAGCCTGTGGCGGTTTTCCTAGTGACAGATGAGCATGTCAACATGTTTGTGTGTGCGTGCGTGTGTGTGGTGAAACAATAGGCCTGGTAAGCTGTGAACTGTGCTATCAGGCACAAAACTGCCAAGCTATCCAGTAGGCAGTCTACCAGCGCTCTAATCAGATATTTTAAATCTGCATGTAAGTCTGTAAAATGTTACCAAGTGAATAGAG